GTGCAAGTGTTTATGGAATGTTATTGAGAAGGGTGGGCACTTTAGGTAGGTGAAAGCAGTTCCATAAAAAGTACACAAGTCAGTTAAGTTTAGTTTAAAACTCAATTGCTGCTTAATATGAATGCATAACAATCACTGCCACCCCCACATAACAACAAGTGACACGGATAAAAATTTAAAGGAAAAAAGTGCGAAGGTAGATGGTTAAAAATATCCTGTAGTGTCTACATACAATATAATTATTTATAGACCATACACATAAAAATAAGAGAGATTGTCATTTGCCTAATAGCATTTTTTTCAGTAATTCAATAATCTCTGAAATAAAATTAAATCATTAACCAACGGACGTTAAAAGCTTTGTCAGATAAAAAGACTAGATGACTTTATGGCTCTCCTGTATTCATATAAGCATAAAATATTAAATTTTTGTATCTGTAAATTATTTTTTATTTCCTGTAGAATTTTTCTCTTTTTTTATTATTTAAATCCATGTTGTGAATATAAAGCATTAAATTATACGTGCTGTCTAGGATGTTAAAAGAAACTTAAAAAAAAAAATAGAATGACGTCAAGCAAGAGTTATGAATCATGATGATGCCTGAATTCTTTGTTTAACAGTCAAGTGTTTTTCATAAACACGAGTCAAAAAATTATATTCAGAATAAACGTATGATGATGATGATGTGAGTCATGCACTGACTAGCTCTGTGTTCTCAAGTTTATTTTTATCAAAAGAAGACAATAATTAGATTGATGTGTCTCGATAGAGGATGTTCAAGATCTTAAGTCGTAGAGTTGATACTAAGGATTGTGAGGGAATAACCATGGAAGCGAGAGATTTAATAAGATGAGTCTGTTAAGATCCGTGCATATGATAAAGTCAATTTAAAAGGAATGTCAAAAGATAATTCATTGTTCACTCTAGTAACTATTAAATTAACAGAGTTTAAATCAAATTTTAGAATCTTTTTAAATTGGCACTACCAACCTAGCAACTATTAATAAGCTTATGAGCTTAAATGCGAGAGTGACTAATGATCAAGCTTTTTAAGAATCCCTGATTAAAGATTTTAAGGGGTTTTCTGATTCTTTTAAGGGCAGTTATCTTGAAACTTTGGCTATCCACACCAGGGGCGTAGCCAGAGGAAATCCTTAGGTATTTGGTCACCCCCTCCCCCCCTGAGATTGAACTAATATTTTCTTTTATTTTAATAATTAACACTCATTGGCTTTAAAAAAAAGAAGAATATAATTAGCCCTTCCCCTTACCTTACGCAAAATCCTGGCGTTGTCCTTGATCAACACTTCATAGGAGATTGGAAGGGGGGGGGGGGGGGGTGATTGGTATATATGGGATATATTCTCATTTCTGGATGACTCATAGAATAATCGAACCTGCCATCATTATTGCATAACTGCCCTTTAGTTTGAAACTCTTAAAATATTGCTAGTGCATCTACTTCACACCAAATATCATTGCCCTATCTCTCAATGATTATAAACAGTGCAACATACATATAATTATATAATTCAATGATAGTAAAAAAAAAATCACATAAATTTTATCATGTTCAGTACTTAATTAAATTTATGTCCATTGGAAAACAGCTTTTTCCGAAAAAAAAACACAGTTTCTGATAATAAACCAGAACAATTTCATATCTGAGAGCAATTTACGAAAAACATATAATTTTTACAGCAGCAAAAGCAGTTGCAGTTTAAGTCTCACGAGAACAATTAGTAACATTTCAATAGGTTTCATTATAAATTTTAAAAAAATTTAATTTTCTCTTAATGAAGCTAAAAGTGCAATTGTCAATTTAATTTTTACAGTAAAAAGCCTTTCGAAAAAAACAAAGACATTTTGCTGCTTAAGTTTAACAAAAAAGATATTTAATTGTTTCTTGTCGTCCACTTAATTATTTCATTTTTTCTAGCTCGCCGAGAAATCGAGCTGATGTCGTCAGTCAATTATTCATTTTGCTTGTCTTATTTTACGCGCTGTTTTTTATTTGAGTCGTTCGTAAATGATGTCGAATTATTTTTTTTGTGAAGGGAAAGTTATAAATCCATTGAAGGTTGCGGACACATTTGATCATTTTGACCGGTCAAGACTTTTATGAGGCCCGAAAAATTCAATTTTTTAATTGACATCATTTGTGCACAGCCCCCATACAAAACATCTTACTTTTTAATTAAATTCATTTCATCAGATCTTTTTCTGCTAATGGTTTATTATGCACGAATATTTTTTTATAGACTTTTTTTCCTCAAAGTGAAATTTTTTCATTGTTGGTTTTTAAAATTTAAGGAGTTTAGTGAGATAATTCAGTTTGAGATATTTCTTACAAGACATGGCTTTGTTTATGGGATTCTTGGGGGCAATTATTCTGTTGAAAGTAAGTTACGAGGATATTTGCATGACCTGGGGTAATTTTAAATAATAACATGGAAGTTGATCTCTTACAGCCTTAAACAGAACCTCCTTGGACCCCTAGCCCCGCCTTTGATATTAATAAATGATGAAAAGGTCCAAAACAATGAAAAACTTTGTAGTTCAGATATCAAAAACCTAAATGACAGCAAAAAGGACATAAACTTGAAATAAGACACAAGAATTCACTCATTAAAGGCCAACTTTAATTGTCCATCAAGCGAAAAATATCCACAATAATAATTTTAATGACAGCAACTACTTTGCAAAAATATAAAAGCATGCAAATTTGTAGGAAAGAATGGAGCGTGGGAACATTTTCTTGCCTTGAATTAAACTGAAATATAATTTTCAATGGCTTCTTTACATACTTTTCCTCCTTTGCATGTTGCTCATAAAACCATTTAAAATTATTTGCTATGGTTTTGTAAGTTGATAGGTTTGGAAAAATAATTTTTGGATGATTCAAAGATTTTAAGGCATCTAAGTCAATTAAATTCAGAATTGTCTAGGAACTGACATGATCTAATGATCTTTACTGAGTTGGCACACGTTTAATCTCTTAACAGGAGGAAGATGAAGGAGTTAGAAGGCATTTTCTTGTCTCAGATCTTTGGCTTTCTAGTTCCATCGTTGACCTGCCTACTTTTTGTTCTCTATTCTGCTGACATTACAAAAAGAACGTTTCCAGAAAGGAATTGATTAGAGGTTGTCATGCATTCCCTTTCAGCAATCACAGTTCTTTCAAGTCATCTTAAGAAATAACCTAAAATAAACCGAAACTCAAGCTTATTGGCACACCCAACAAGCAATTAAAAAGACTAATTTGTATGTGAAAAAAAGGCAAGAATAAATACGAAAATTTGATTTGATCGTTGCGGTATGATGAAGGTAAATTATCTCATAATTAATTTGTGCATAGCTAGAAAGATGAAATTTAGCATAAATTTTCCCTCTTTTAATCATTTTCCCCACATCTGCATGCTCGTGCTCCTACCCATGCAAAATATAAATTTTAATTCACAATCTTTCAGCAATCGTCATTGCAAATGTGTCAGGGTTTGTTTTCACTTATGTTGTATGCTGTTCAGTGCATCGAGGCAAGTTGACTGTACAACCTTGCAGAAAACTCTCGACTTTACTGCACAAAAATAATTGAGTGCTATGAATAATATTTCCAACAATAATTTAAAGATGAAACGAAAATTTATGGATATTTGATGCAATCAACTGGATGGGTGCGTTGAAACTGATTGAGTGCGACTTTTGTGTGCCCATAAATGAACAAAATTCATTATTTTATAGAATGTCATGAAAATAAATTTGTCTCGCGTGAAGGAATGAATTACAGGTTAAGTGTCCTCAATTATTGTCTTGTGTTGCTAAACCTATTAAAAAATTAAATATGGGACACATTGAGGTAGTTAAAGGCTATTTTGAGTCATAATGGACATTTTTGCAATGAATTGTTGCTGATGGATTTGGACTAAAAATGGCTTATGTGTACGTAGGATTGGCATTTTGGATATGAAAAGGGAAATATTTTTGGAATAACTTTTGGTACCATATGTCTGTGACGTGATTCTCGAGGGAATGACTAACATTTACCTTTAAATTCCTTTTTATTTTAATGTTATAGCTTGTTCAGAATAGGATATTTTTTAAATGACCTGCAGCAACTTTAGAGGATGTCTAAAAATTGCGTAACATTGGTCGTGACATCTTCTTTGGTACCAGATTTTTATTATTTTTGATTGTAATTCATGTAGGCATTCATAACATCGTGGGCCAAATTTGGCCGTATTACACGTAGGAATCGAACCTGTGTTGAGTATTGACCTACAGTCATAGTAAAAATGGAACTTATGGTACTGGTAAACACTTTATAAGCTTAAAATGAATGGCTATGTGTTGTCAATTTCACGCCTTAGTCATCATTAAAGTGTCAGAATCAAGTCGTTGTCTATTTTGCCATTGAATGCCAAATTAATGCTGTAGCTGTAAAGATGCCAACTTAAAGCTAGCCTCATCTGATTCTAATACCAAATTTAAAGTTCTAATGCTCTTATTAGCATCCAAATTCACCAATTTCTAACAATTGAAAATCAAAGTCACGTCAACAATTTCCCACAGTAAGTTTTCGTGTCACATCGTAATTTTCCTCAACTTGCTCAAAAAAATAATCATGCACTTTTCATTTGTGCACGACAAAAATATTTTTCTCCATTGCTTTCATCTACAAGTAATTTAAAGCTCATTCTCAACTTAAGTAGTCACATCAATTTACAAGTGCCACGTACACATGTGAAATTTGTTGTGTACAATAACAAATCATTAAGTGACTGTCCCTAATTTGAGAGAGCATCACATCCATTCATCTATTTATTTTTAATATTTATAAAGTCGTCGAGGAAAAATGGCACTCGTGGGTGAGTCAGCAATGAATTAAATTTTCATTGATACTTAACGAGAATCTTATTTATTTACGAAAATTCCGTACCGGACCTGAATCACTTTATGGACGTAACGACGTTAGTTGTGTGAGAAATAAAAATTTATTATGATGTTGGCATCGGACGCAAACAAATGGGCCATGAGAGTGAAATTTCCATATAATGGTGACAAAGTCAATGGGATGGAAGGAAGGAATGTCTTTAAATTTAAGGAGCAACAAAAGAGAAAATTCTCGTCCTTTCATGAAGTTATGGGACCAATTTTAACAGGTTTTTGTTTTTACTTTATCTTACTGATTTGATTATTTTGGTTCCTTCTGAGAAGCAAGAATTACTTTTTGTTGTTATGTGTCTGGATTAGCATATTTTGTCGATGCTGACGGGCAATTTGTAACTTTTTAAGGTTGAAGTTTTTGTGATGCTGGAAGCGATCTAGAAGATTTGTAAAGGAATTTGGATATAGACAGATGGAAAGGAATAAGTTTTAAGTGATTTTAAATAGTTTTGATGTTGCTTTAAGTTTCAAGGTCGGAATGTGATTCAATTTTGTCTTTAGGGAGAATTAGAAGCGCTTTTGTGTTGAGTGGGGAAGGGAACATGACTGTTGCTGGTTTGAAGCTTAAAATAAATCAAAGGAAGACCTAGTTGGGTACTTTAAGAATACCCTCGCAGTTATTAACTCATACTTTTGAGATGACTTTAAAGAAACAGACTTAAGAAGCTCTTTAAGTTATATGATTGGATCAAAAGCCTTGAACCACACTTTAGAACCCCGGGGAGTACTAGAAACCATCCTCAGACTAGGCCACTTTATGGTTTATTTCCATCAAGTCCGTCATTGTGTGCTATAAAGTTGACTAAGCTCAGTAGGATGAACTAAGACTCCCGGATAACCTCGAAAAGTCAGCATCTAAAGCTACAAAAATTCCATCTTCTAGCTTGCTTTTAGCACAAAATAATCTTTAATATACACAAGAAATAATTCCACAATCCAGACATCCGAACAAGTTAATATTTATACTGAATATATTATTTTTCATCCTTTCATCCCATGACTTTCTTCTTCCATCAAACCTCGTGTGTGTGTTTAGTCAGTCAACTATTTGGATATCTGCCATCATGTGGAGTTCTTGAAAGGAATTGCAATAATGTTTACTTTAAGTGGACATCAATTCGAGTAATTTATACAATCTTATTCCTATGTCTCGGAACATTTGAAGTGATATTGATGATAATCAAGGCTGTACAGGATGGAATCAGCCTGACGGATGTTGGTAAGAATGAACTGACATATTCAATATTAACAACAAAAAAAAGGGAATCTAACCTTATTTCACAATCTAATAGAAGTAATCATGTTTTATGGATTTGCTGTAGCACGAGCATACACATTCCTCTATTTAGCCACAAAGTGGAAAGAAATTGTTGTCTTTTGGTACGACAAGGAGCGTCCCTTTCTCAATGAGCCGTACACAATGAGTCGCTTTAATTTGTCAATCAAGGTCTATCTTATTGGATTTGTTTTCTTCATTTTCTACTTGACTGAACATTTAACGTTCATCGGAGTGGAACTACATGATAACAACTATCAGTTGACATATTGCAATGTTACAAGTATATCCTTCTTAAACAACTACATGAGACGAGAAAGACCTCATTTAATCGACATCCTGCCATATCATTGGTGGATCTTTCCATTTTTTCAATGGACCATAACATTGATGGCATTCGGATGGAATTTTGTTGATTATTTCATTATAAGCATCAGTCTCGGCTTATCGACACGTTTCAATCAGCTGAATAGACGTTTAATACATGCAACATCAAATCAAATGAGCCGTAAATTTTGGCTCGACATACGCGTGCATTATACAAATCTTGTTGATTTATTACATTTTATTGATAGGAAAATTGCTCTGTTGATACTCATTAGTATGTTGCAGAAGCTGTTTCTCATCGCTACGAAAGTTTTTGAGGCTATTAGGTCAGGATATTAAAATAGAAATGAAAATTAATTTAAATTTAATTTTTTTCTTTCTTCTATTCTTATTTTTAGATATGCAGATCGACCGTTCCTGATAAACCACATTTACTTTTACTTTTATCTCTTTTTTATGGTTTTTCGGACACTAATGATGCTCTCCACATGCTCGAATATTCATATTGAGGCACAAAAGCCATTGATTTCGATTAGAAATGCACCAGTAAGATGTTGGGGTGATGATGTAAGTACAATTCATGTTTCATGGTTGTTGAAGGTTATAAGGCTAGAAAGGGATTGCCCATATTAGTCACCCGAATAGCACAAGTCGGTTAATTGATCAGAAATCCGGTACCTAGACGTGTGACTCTAGCATGGTGCTGGATTTAATTCGAAGAACGCACAATCCCAGAGTCATGCCAGCTTAGCGCTGATTTCTGATCTATTAACCGTTTTGTGCTATTCGGGTCAGGTACAATAGGGTTCGTTCATAAATAATGTCACCAAATTCCAGAATCATTGCAAATGCAGCCATTTGTACAAATAGCTCCTTTTTAAGCTTCCACATTCTTTTATCTTTACAATAATACAGATTAAGAGATTATCGGATTTAATTTCATTCGAGAATATTTCATTGACTGGATGTGGATTTTTTCTCATCACCAGGCAATTGATTTTAACTGTAAGCATCAATTAAATTGATTGGACATCACTTGACATAATTACATTCATTGATTTCCAGATGACAGGAACAATCGTGACATTTGAGTTGGTCTTACTAGACAGAGGAACTCGAGGCGACAACAGCACATGGTGTTCATATTTTGAGAACATGACTTTGTCATAAATTCATCAAATGGCATTTAGAAAAAAAAACAGTTTTGTCGCGTCATTCAGTTTAATTATAATCCACTTGTCTGCATTTCTTCTATGACACTGTGACTTATTATAGCTTTTTTTTTTATTTTCTATGTAATTAAAACTAAGTTTATAATAAAAAAAACTTCCGAGTGACATGCATACATTGTTGAGTTTCTAGTAGCTTTAATAGCTCAGTTTCTTTGCTTTTTTATGAACATAAAGTGACTTTAAAGTGTCTTTAAAATTAAAATTTGTTTATTATTTCAGCTTTTTGCAATTAAATGAAATTATTTTTGATGAGAAATGTTGGTTAATTAGTGAACATCATAAATTTGTTGTATGGAATGTAATTCAGATATTTTTTTAATCTAAATTGTAATAAATTAAAAAATAGAATAATTGCTGACTCATAGAGTAGTAAAATTGAGCTAATTATAAAATCATGAACGAAGAAATGTCCATAAATTATAGTGGCATATTTAGTTGATTTTAATGACTTTAAATTGCATTTTTGTGTTGTTTTGAATTTATTGGGAATTAAAATGCGTTGAGTATGAAATAATTTATGAATATACCCGAATAGCACAAGTCGGTTAATCGAATATAAATTCAGAACCAAGCAGGCATAAGTCTAGTATGGTGATGAAGTCGAATTGAGTTCAGCACCATGCCAGAGTCACGCGACTTGGTGCCAGATTTCTATTTGATTAACCGACTTTTGCTTTTCGGGAAGGTTCAGTAAACTTAATTTTTTGGAGTTGTCCTAGAGGAAGGTTTTTGGCAAAAATCTAAAATCTCACGAATCTTATGAGTACTGAGAACTATGACCTGCTATGATCTATACAACACCTTTACTATTAACGGGGTGTGCCAAATTTCCTCTACTAAGTTGTTCGATTCCCAAAAATGTACAAATCCAAAAACTCTTTAAAGCAATACAAACACTTTATGCTTGCATATCCATCAACATTCTCTTCAACAATCTAAACAAACACTTTTACATTCAGCAAAATAACAAGCATCAAAAATTATTTAGGGTAGAAATGCTAGTAACTTTAATTTTATGGATGGTAATCAAACAACTCTGAAAAAAGCGCAATAAAATCCCAATTTAATTATTTCTTTTCTGTAAAAGTAAAAGAAAGCATTTAAGGAGGTGAGTGAACAATGATGTTGATGAGGAGCTTCCGAACTTTAAAGTTCATTGAAATTTTTTCTTTTATCTTCAGCTTAGTTATGTAATGAATTTTACTTACTGCAACTTTTGATGGTTGTTTGTGTTTTTTCAACTGCTCGCTTTTCATTTTTCTCGCATATTTAGTGAGTTGATGACTAGGAGTGGACTCTACTGAATAATGAGCAGACGGAATTTGGACTATGGGACCTTACTGTCGAACAACCTTACTGATGTAAAGCCTTACTGACGCATTGCCTTACTGACGCATAGCCTTACTGAGGTAAAGCTTTACTGATGCATAGCTTTACTGATGTTAATATAGAGGAAGTGATGAAAGAAATGTCAAAATCAGCACGAAAACTTAAATTTAATGTATAAATAATGAATTAAATATTTAAACTTATGAAGAATGTAAATAGATATAAGGATTCAAAATAACGGTTTTTTAATTTTCGAAAATGGGCCCCCCCCCCTTAAAAATTTTCTGGCTACGCCCCTGTAATGATTCATAGCCTTACTGATGAACAACCTTACTGATGCATAGCCGTAATGACGCATGGCCTTACTGTTGCAAAGCTTTACTAATGCATGGCCTTACTGATGCATAGCCTTACTGACGCATGGCCTTACTGTTGCATAGCCTTACTGATGCATAGCCATAATGATCCACAGCCTTAATGATGACGGACTGAAAATTTCTCAGACATTAATATATATAGCATCTCATCCTACATTATAAGCTTCTTTAAAAGCATCAAATGCAAATCGGTTTAACTACGTTCTAAAAACCGAGAATCAATGTCGAAATGGAAACCAACTTTCATTTCCATTTCATTAACTTTTTTTCTTTCCCCTATTTTTTGTTGTTTTAAAGAAAATGAACAATTGAAATCATCAAGTCAATAAAAGAAGGGAAAAATTATCACAAACTTGAGTCAGCAGTTACGAGGAATCAAGAACCAGAAAAAAGTTTATGCTGATTAATTACCCTTCTAATTGAATTTCATCATTTTTATATTCTGCAAAAAATAAGGACAAGCATCCCTCTTTTCCTGTTTTATGATGGAAGGTTTTTTTTGTGTTCAAATTTTAGTGATGAAATTACGAGTTTTTTGTGTGTAAATATTTGAGGAAACTTATGACTCAATGGTAATGAAGGAGGCAAAAAATTGGATGAAGGAAGGTGTACAGAACTTGATGTGAGTGCTCTGGGGCCAGGATATAGAACAAGTCTTTACAATAAACGTTCTACGTCATCAATGAACCCTTCAAACTAAGAATCAAGTTTTTTTTACTAGTAAGCGTCTTTTTCAACAATCCTACTCCCCTGACTAGCTTATTTTTCTATTTTCGGCTCTCTATTTTATCTACAAAGTCTATAAAACTTTACTTTTTGTTTTGGGAAAAGAACAAGAAAGTTGTTGAGTTGCTGTAATAATAACAAAGCATAACAATGAGCTATCATGTTTCTCTCATCAATTGTTTCCCTCAAAAAGTGATGAAGTATGTAATAATCTTTAAGTAGCTTACGTAGAAGGCAAATAAGGAAGAAAAGGAAGTCATCGTTATTTTGAAAAAAAAAAGTTTTGAACTGTCTTGACTTTAGATTGAAGTTTGTGCTCTTTGAGCATTTGATTGGCAATTGAATGAAATTGGTGCAAGATAATTGCCGACAAAGAAGCTAGTTTGAGGACTCTGGATTTTTTTGGAACTGACGTATGGCCTTAATGATGCATAGCCTTAATGATGCATGGCTTTAATGATTCATAGCTTTACTGATGGAAACAATTTAAATTTTTAAACGGGGTTCGAATCTCAATTTCAATGAAAGATTTAGATTTTCTTGACACAACCTATCAGTACCCTTTAAGAATGCTAGTCAAGCATGGTAGCTTAATGAATCTTTTATGATATCACCAAAGTCATTACCAAAACTCAAAAAATATTGTAAACTATCCGAAATGGTGAAATCAACTTCAACCACAAAATTATAAACTTTGACAATAATATTCCAATCAGCAATGCACATCATCATTCTATGATTTCCCAAACATAAAGCAGAAATGATTTTCAATTAAAATCAATGCCAAAAGGAAAAGTTTACAAAGCAATCAAAGTGGAAAATGGTTGCTATAGCATGACTATGACTCTAAACATGCACATTAATGGTAAATTTGCGAAATGCGCAGCAAAATTAAGTATTTTTTTAAATTAAGAAAAAAGTAATTTTAATTCTCATTAAAGCAGCTTTAGTGACCACAGAATGTCATTTCACAATTGCATTTCCCAGACATTAATGTTTGGACAATTTTTAGGATTAGTGCCAGTCAGTGGCATTTGTCACAAAGACAATTCCCAGCTAAAATTTTCATGGAAATCATTTCGGATTCTCTATAGCATCATCATTAGTAGTGGTTCATTAATATTCCTACTATTTACCATCATGTGGACATTCATTAGCAAAAACATGTCCCTGAGTTACTTCATCGTCCTAATTGTGTACGCTGGAAGTTTCATTAATGTGATTTTGTTTTATAAAGTTAGTAAGCAATGGCCAAAATTAATTCAGCTATGGGAAACTATGGAAATGAAAGTATCCTTTGACAACAAGAGTTTAAAGAGGAATATGAATATGATTCTTATTGTTGTAGTTACAACTGCTGTAGGTGAGTGTGAATTAACCGATTTGGGGTCGTTCATAAATGATGGATAACTAAGCATGCTCAATCTTTTTCACCGACAGCTGACTACACATTACAATCATTAACCGTCCTAGTTGAGGCATCAAAATGTGGACGGGAACTTCAAACCAAAGTCTTCTATTTAGCATCATATCCACACATATTTCAACACATTACTTACAGTCCAGTGATTGGATTTATAGCAAAAGTCATGAGTTATTTAATCACGATTACTTGGGCTTATAGAGATTTATTTATCATTAACATTTCGTTAGCATTCATAGCCGCATTTCGACAAATCAATACAGAGTTGAGAAGATGTAAAGGTCGTGCTATGATGCCGGATTATTATTGGAAGTATCGCATAACATATATGGAATTGAGAAAGCTAGTGAACGATTTTGATGATTCATTTAATGGAATTACGATGCTGGCGATTGGAAAAAATACTTTTATAATTTGCGCGCATTTATTCAAGAGCTTATAGTAAGTTGTGGTCAGAACAGATTAGGGGGTTTTAAGTTTACGGCACCCATGCTATTAGCCAGAGCTCGAAGTCAATGAAATTTTGTATGGAGCCGAGTTGACTCTGCCATACAAAATACATGAGAATCTCGAGTCGACTTCGAGCTCTACTATTAGCGGCTATTAGCTATTGATGCATGACAATTTAACCTGAATAGCAAAAGTCGGTTAATCGAATAGAAATCCGGCACCAAGCTAGTGGAACTCTGGCATGGTGATGGACTCGATTTTAATCCAGCTTCTCGCCAGAGTCAAGCAAACTTGGTGCCAGATTTCTATTTGATTAACCGACTTGTGCTATTCGCAGGCGCGTAGCCAGTAGGGTCTTGTCCCCCCTTAAACGTTTTAAATAGCAGCAAGAACACGGCCTTAAACACCTAAGAGAGGGGCAAGACCCTCCTTTCTACGCGCCTGGCTATTCGGGTAATATACAAAACATCTCATTTTCAGTTTTATGGGCTCCACATTGGATATAACATATTTCTGGTACTCCAATTTATCTCTCATAATTCGTACATTCGTTTTGGGCATGATTGCATCTGACCTTCATGAGGAAAGCAAGAAACCTTTAAAAGTCTTCGGAGCTATTCCCCGTGCAGGATGGTGTACAGAAGTGATTTATTGCAATATGTTTCATAATATCTTATATGTAGCAAATCTTTTCCTCATGTTTAATTTAGGTCAGCATCTTCAATCATGAAGTCATGACGGATACTATTGCATTTACTGGCTTAAAACAGTTCTCGATTACCAGGAAGCTTCTTTTGTCTATTACAGCTAAGATTATTACATATGAAATATTTCTTATTCAACTGAAGCCAAATGCAGGAAGCATTGAGGATGCTGAAGATTTATGTAAAATGTAAGGAAGTAAGAAATTTTTCTGTGCTGTAGAGAAAAAAAAAAAATGATTTGTTAATAATTTCCTTACTTTACTGTTGGGATTTTTAGGGCTGCTTGTGCTTTACTTTAGAAAATTAAAGTTTTTTTAAATCCTGCCTGATTTTTTTAATGGTACATAAAGTTTTAATTTTTAAATATTTGATTGATACTTTGATACTTTTCTAAGCTTCAAAAAGTTTAATAACCTCAAACATAATTCATATCCTTACGTACTTTGCTGACCATACAGATAAATTGTGATCCATTGCCTCAAAATCACATCCAGTGAAGTTTAAAAAAAAACATCAATTAAGGTTCAAAAAGTAACAAAGATCATTGATTATGATGACAACAATGTACTTGATAATTGACATGTCTGCATGAACTATTAAAAATGCTAATATTTGCTAGTAATTTAGAAAACATTAAATGCCTTTTCCTATTCCTTCAATGTCGTGCAATTGAAACCATTTCCCATCATAATTATCATAATTTTCTACAACAATAATTCAGTTGTGCTAAAGTGATGAATTCGCAAAGACGAACTGAAAATGACGGAAGCTTTCATTTCGCAATTTCTCGCATTTTACTGCTTGGCAATTTCGTTGGATTTCCAATAATTGGAATTTATTCTCGTGACATATCCAATGTCGGATTCAAATGGATGTCGATTCAATCAATTTATTCACTTTTCCTCCTCATCATGTCAATGTTCTTCCTTATCTGTTACTTCATCTGGATGCTGAACAGCGACGAAGATTTTTCAATACAAACTTTTGTCACGCTCACGCTGCGATTGAGAAATGTCCTTTGTTTGGTGTTATTTCAACGATTGGCTCGTAATTGGAACCACTTTATTTTGAAATGGACAAATGTTGAGCAATATTTACCGACTATGAGTACACAGCACGAGAAAAATTTCATTAAACGGAGAATAACAATATTGCAAATAGTTGTTATATCAATTTCTCTTGGTAAGTATGTACATGCAAGGGCAAGCGATCTTGAAGAGTTTTGAGGACAACTTATTAGCTATTGTAAGGAAATGAGCTGATTGAGTGAGAAAACGTCATTAAAAGCTTAAAGTTAAGTGTAATGGATGTCCTGATAAGGTACATACCATAAGATACATAGGACATGCCTTTGAACTGTGGACACCCTAAGACTTTACATGCCATAAGACAGTTAAAGCCCTAAGACAGTTCAGGCCCTAAGACAGTTCAAGCCCTAAGACAGTTCAGGCCCTAAGACAGTTCAAGCCCTAAGATAGTTCAGGCCTTAAGACAGTACACAAACTAAGAAAGTGGCTATTTTGGTACCTAAAATAATACTTCATTCTTACCCGAATCCACTCAGACTTCCTCAATCACACAACTTTCTCAAAACCATTAATTTCCATCTCAAAACTTTAAAGTACCATCAACTTGCAATACGTCCATTTACATTCCAATTTCACTTTAAAAACACTTTTTTAATGGAACAACTTTTTTTCTTCTTTCTCTTACTTTCCATGTCCTTCCTACAAACATTGCTTGATACACAAAATGAAATATAGCTGAAAATATATTAAAAACAATATTGGCAATAGAATCGACCAGCACATGCAACGTTGAGAATAAATTCAAAGCATTTCTGATTGTATCACATCCCGAAGTATATTCGACACTAAATGATAATCTCATTATTGGCATAATTGCACGAATAACAAGCTACATGTTATCACTGTTGGGCAGTTTTCGTGATCTGTTCATAATATGTGTCACTGCTGCATTAACAGCACGCTTTCAACAGGTCAATAAAATTTTATTACATCATAAAGGAAAATCGATGCCGACGAGTTTCTATGCGGAGCACAGGTTGTATTATCGGAAGCTTGTGGGTCTTGTTGCGTATGTTGATAAGGCAATATCATCAATCACCATGCTCGCATTATCGAATAATCTCCTTTTCATTTGTACATCGCTATTAAACAGCCTCTAGTGAGTACTTTATGTTGTGTAGCCGTAAGATGTTTGTGCCTCATAAAATTTGTACCTTTAATCAAGATATTTTTTGGTTGGATTCGATTGAATTTTGCCATAAATTCAGTTCAAAAATCACTTTAATCGGATTATATTGCTGACTGGTTTATTAGGGCATGAAAATAAGTTTTTTTTACAACAAACAAAAATTTAATTTAAATTTTTAATTTTATGTGAAAATTTTCATTTGATTAAATTTATTCCAGAATATTTTATGCTAATGTGAACTCGTTGTTGTGAAATTTTTTTTCCGGCAAATGACAATAAACTGTTGTTTGGCAGTGGATGTTGGAATAGATTTTCCTTAATTGTGATTGTAGCTTTTTGACTTTGTATAGCAATTTTAAAAACTTATTTGATTAGATTTGGCTGAATAAATATGATTTAAATTTTATTCCCGCTCATAATGAGCAAAGATCGAGCATGAAGTTACAAAAAGTCCCAAAAAGCCAGAGCTCGAAATCCACTCGAGTCAATATGAGTCGAGCCAATTTTTTCCGAGTTAAATCCGTCAACCTGAGTTGACTCGAACCCTATCTCTGCAAAAAGCTCTTAAATTCATAAAATTTAAGTGATTTTTAAGTGATTCTTTTAATATCCTAGAATAATATTAAAATAAAAATAAAACTAGGCACTCAAAACAATAAAGGATGTAAAAAATTACCATATAAATTAAGAAATAACTTTCATTCCATTATCTTTCTCTTCCTTTCCACTTCCGTACGAGCCAGTCCAAAAGGAAACTTTCTCCGAACATTCTACTTCTGGTTTGCACTGCTGATGCAGTTTACAAGAACAAGTTTAATGTGCTTATATGCATCGAATGTGCACGAGGAAGCAAAGAAGCCAATTGAGGTTTTGAGGAAAATTCCAAGCGAATGTTGGAGCATTGAGGTAATATTGTACATTTCATTGCCAACAGAGATTATTATTTGCATTCATAGACGAAGCGATTTCAAAGAGAACTCTATGCGGACACTTGTGCACTTACAGGAATGAATTTTTTCCCAATAACACGACAACTTGTGCTGTCAATTTGCAGTACTATTCTAACTTACGAGATATATCTCATTCAGTTTCAAGATAGCAAACGTATTGATGTTACAAGTAAGGATCCTTGTTATGGGTAAGATGCTTGTTTGAAATGTGATGCCATTTCCCCATAATTTTATCTTCTATTTTATTTAGAATGAGTTGAAATTTAAAGAGAAGCAATATCCTGTGAGGATTAAAGATAGAACCAAATGGATGCATATGACGTAACATGAATCAAGAACAGTATTCCATTGTGGATGAAGAAGTTTTGTTCTATTTTTTCTGTTAGGGTCGTTCACTTATGACGTCCATCAAAAAACCTGACTTTTAGACCCCCCTCCCCCCTCTGTCACCAAAAATTCTATAGAAAAAAAATTCCGTTGTTTGAACTGTCACAAAATCCTAGACCCTCCTACCCCCTTCCCCCCCCCCCCCCCCCCCCGAAATATCGGACGTCATAAATGAACCGCCCCTCAGCAAGAAAATGCGTTTCACATCATTTATGAACAATCCCCAAAACAAAATTCATTCCCACGCTTCACATTTAACAAATTTGACATGCCAAGCCATAAAAATTTCATTCATGTCAGCAAAGAATTTCAAACTTTCTTCTTTTCGTTTCCTAATTAAAGAACTAGGAAGAACCAGTCAGTTTGTGTCCACGAAGAAAGAAATGAAATTTATTTTGACATGAAGACCTATCAGGCACTACAAAAACTTTCCTTTGTGCAATTTTAAAAAGTTCACTTCCACCCACATCCTTAATTTTAAATGTCTGTTAAAAACCACACCATTGTCTCGTTGCTATAACAATTTATAACAGACATCAATTCAATTCCAATTTACTTTCATATTAAATTAATATCGATGAAAAAAAAAAGACAAGCAACATCAATTGTCAATTGGCAATCAGTCGTAATATGATTATTGATGAAATGGATGTGGAAAGGAAAAGGAAATTGATTGCAATTGCATTATCAAACGCAGCGACAATCATTTTGGTGTATTGTTGGTGAATTTTATGTTACAGCACTCATAAATAAAGTAAATTGATGTAATACGTGTGTTCATGATTTACATTTTAATTGGATTGAATTTTCCTGTGAAATTGAAGAATGAATTTTTATTTGAATTAATGGATGAATATGTTTGAGGCTATTAAGTTATGGTGAAACATAATTGATGTGACAGTGAATAAATGAAGTAATGAACTGAATTGTCTGAATTCCTCAAAAATTCACATAATTTTGGATTACAATATTTATAAATCAAAATTAAATCAAATTGAAGTTCGCTAGCAACTTTCCAACATAGTCCTAGATAGTTGGACCATTAATTGGTACAAAACCTCGCAACAATAGCCTCACCATTCCTACTATTTTACATCTTTTTATCATCTTCAACAGCCTTAACTCTTTCAAACAAATCCGTAAACATTTCTAAATTTGCAAACCAATCTTGTCCATAATGAGAAAGTCCACGAAAGTCCTCAACAAATTCTAAAACTGATAAATTTGTTCTCTTTACTTTCCTCTCAAGCAGTTCCTTCAATGATTCTTCATTTCCTTTAAAAAGATCTTCGAGAAATCTTACAAACTTCCTGCATGGCTCTTCCTTTGCCTTTCCAATTGCGTAGTAAATGAAGTCATTAGAACTTAAAACTATTTCCTGCAATTCCTTCTGATTGAAGTGAATATGATAAATTGATTGTGTAAAATCAAAAGTAAGTGCACTGGCTAGAGTCATGGATCGATGAAGAACTTTAAATGCTGTAAAGTCATAATTGAAGTACGAATATTCATAAATTGAGTAATAATTCTTCATATCCTCTGGACCAGACCAGAAATAAAAATTTTTATCATCAAAATCATCTTGAAGTAGAATTTGCTTCCTTTCTTGTCTTGATGCATGACCACTAAGGAAGCACCATAGAATTGTAAAGCTTGAAGAAAACCAATGAGCTTCATGTAAAATGTTTTTATTGAGGAACATTTGAAAGATTTGAGGACTTGACAGGAAGTTGGCAGATTTTTGAAGCAGTAGAGAAAGAAAAAGTTCATGACCAGCCTTGTCGTTTGGAAAGACTTCAAAATAGTTGATGATAGAGTCTCCAAGTAGCTCATGCAATTCATCGACTGTCAATAAATGTTCATAGTCCATCCATAGCTTTTTATATTCAGGAAAGTCTGACGGATTGAAGAATTTGTCGTAATAAAGATACATTTTTGGATTTACTGCAGTCTTGAAGAGCTCTTTCTGCTCGTCTTTTGTAAGCATTGAAAATATATCATTGAAGGATGATACCTTAAGTTCCTTAATGACTGAATCGTATGAATTATGAATTTTAGGAATCTCAAGTTGTCCATAAAAATGTAAACCAAATAAAATGATTCCCTTTTGATTCCTTCCATTGACCAACTTCTCAAAATTCTCAATACTCAAATAATTTACAGCTAATTCCTTGATTCCTTCGGGATTTGTGAACAGCGAAAAGTTGTTTGGGTTAAAAATTGCTGTGTAAAATGTTTCATCCTGACTAACATGCAGGAGATCAGCCAAAAGATCTGGATCTTTCTTGAAGAAATCAAACAAGAATAAAAAGACATCAGGATAGTTTGAATCCAACAACCTTATGAAGAAATTTCGAAACTTAGTCCTCAAAAGTGCTGAAAGGTTTGGATTAAAATTTTCAGCTTCATTGTCCTTATTCATCTCCAAAAACGACGCCATAAAGTCAGTAACAATTTTTTGAGTATGTCCATAAGACTTGGCAAAGTGGAAAAATATTTCAAGCCTGAGTTCAGCTTCGTCAGCATTCACATCATCATCCACATCGTAAATAGCTTCAATAAAGTATTGAGCGATAAAAAATTCAGCAAACGTTCTGTGCGCAAATTCAAATTTGTTCTTTCCGTTGATGTACAGGATTCCCATCCTTGAAATTTCCTCAAATGGCAGGTCCTGCATGATTTTCTTTTGCATAATTTGAAGCTTCTTGATCTTAAGTGTCAATGTTGTGGATGAAAAGACATGAAGCTCATCGAGGAGTGCGTATCGCTGGAAAATCATCCTTAATGAGCCACTTATCAGAAGCTTTTTAGCTAAATTATGAGATCTTGTGCTTTTTTCAAGCCACATTCCGATTTTCTTCTCGACAAAGATCTCAAAAATTCCATAGACATGTCCAAGTTTAAACAAATTTTCTTGCTCATGAACTTCTGCTAGAAGCTTAAGCATTAATGGAGTATTAAAGTTGTAAGCAAAGGAATTGACATCATAATTCAGTTTTTGAATGATTTCATCGACTTTTTCTATAAATTCATCAATTTTGTCACTTGAGACTTGATGAAACTCAAAGCAAGTCCTTAAAAAATCCTTCTTATCATCCTCATTTAATGGAACCAACTGCCATGATCTAATTTTAAAGCCTCTACTTAATTGGTCAGAATATAAAGGTCTTGTGCAAACATATTGGACATTGCTTGTGTTTTTGTAGATCCAGTCGATTAAATTGAAGATGAATTCATTGTAGGTCGGAGATATTTCGTCGAATCCATTCCAAAAGATAACAACTTTGCCTGATTTAAAAAATTCTTCAAAGATTTTCCTCTCAAATTCATTATTGACTGAACTTAATCTTAATATGTCTTCAAGAAGCTTCTCAGCAATTCCGTCGCCTATATAGAACTGCGTATAATCCTTCAAGTCAACATAAGATACCCAAAGTTTCCGACATTTGTTCTTAATTTCAATTGCAAGCTGCTCAAAAGTTGCAGTTTTTCCAGCACCAGCTTCAGATGATAAAATTAATAGCTTCTCATTTTCTGCTTGTTTGATGATTTCTTGAGAGTTTTTGTGCATAAAGTTAAAGCCTTTTGAGGATAGGTCGTAGTGTCTAGTCTGGTAAAATTCATTTTCCTTGACTTTATCAAAAATTTTTGAGCAAAATTCGAAATTGTTTTTGGAAAATCCTTCAATGAATTCTGTAAATGTTTGAGATTGGATCCTGTGCCTTACATGTTCTTCCTCAGTTTTATAGTCAACTGTATATTCATGTCCATGCTCATATTCAAAGGCAATCGTTTTAGAATCTTCATGAATGAACTTCCTTTCTTGATAAAAGTCAACATCACTTTCAACTTTACTACCAATCACGAATTTATCTCCACTTAATATTTTGATGATTTGTTGGGATGCTAAAGTATGGAAAGCTTCAGAACATGATTCATAGAGATCTTTAAACTTTACATTTAGACCTTGAAAATTCAAGTAAGAATTCAGACATTTTTGTTTTAGCTTTTCTGCCAAATTTTCCCATTTAAAGTTAATCAGCTCCTCTAAGTACCTCATTTGTGAGTCTTTAAAATTCAGTACCTTGCTATTAAGTAGCTGTGAGATATGCTCTGAAGTCAGTTTGTCATACATTTTCAAATCTTCAGGATAAAGTTCGCAAAGCTTAACCTTTACATTTTTATAGCTAACCATCCCATTCTGGACCTTAACCTTTTTATCATCTGGGAGCTTACTATAAATATAAGCAGGCTTATAAGCTAATCTAGTTTCTAGGTCAGGCAGTGCTTTTTCCATAGCAGGAATGACAATCTTTTCATAATGTTCAAACAATTCTGGAAATAATTCATTAACTTCTCTTAATTTATCTGGATCTTGAAGATACAAAGCAACTAGATGTGCTGGCCTGACAATTAGTTCTGATGGCTGCTCAGTTTTTCTATAAAAGTCATAAACATTCTTTATAATTACTTCCTTCTCTTTTTTTGCCACGCAAATATCCAAAATTTCTTGAAAATTCTTCTGTGCTTCTTTGTCACTTGCTGGATATGGATTCGCCTTGTTTTCAAAAATCACATAGAGAGCATAGTGACAAAGTTCATGTGCTAATGTCCCAAAAGTCTCGTGTTCTGTTTCAGGACTTAATAATTGCTTAGCACCAATTAGAACTCTTCCAGAAAAGTAAAAAGTGCCAGTTGTACCAGCACTAGTCGTTGGATCTATTCTATAAGTCGAATCTTGATAAAAGTCAAAGACAATGTGGAATATTTTTGTAGCTGCAACAACTTTAAGGATGATTTTAATTCGAGAATCTCCATTGAGTGCCTGATAAGCTCGAAAGACTAAGTTTCTTCTATTTTCATCGTTTGTTTCGTCGTGGCTGAATGATGTGTTGGCCATAAGAATATTTATGTGCTTTTCTGGCATGTCTTTTAGATATTTGATGTGAATGTCATGTAGATCCTCTCGATCTGTAATTGTTAAGCTATTCCAAATTTTATCTGTATCTTCATGTGGACCGAAACTTAAATTTTTGGACACTAGAAATTCATAGATTTTCATTTGTTTCAGGTTTACTGCAACCTTCATGGCTGATTCATTGGATAGATTGTAGAAATGACGAAGTTTTGGATATGTGGCTAGAATTTCTTCAAGTTTTGGAAGGTTTTTTGTTTTTATGGACTCATGAAATTCTTCAGAAGTTTCAATGAAATTCTTAATACTTTCTGAGCATTTTGAAATGTCAATCAATTCAGGAAATGTGGAGTTAGCTTCAAGCAATTTTAGAAGAACATCAAAATGTTGATTTTTGAATGCTAAACATTGAGCAGTGATTTCACTTCCTGGTAACTGAGACTCCATACCATACAGAAGTAAAGATTCTATTGGTTTGATAATACCAGATTCACATGCTTTAAGGAGTAAATTGTAGTTACGATCATCAGCTAAGAAATGGAGCTCTACTTCTTCATTGTTGTTCCAAATGTTCTTGTTAATTCCTAAAAAAAGAAATTATTAGGTTTATGGCTTTAAGCTGATTCTGAGCTAGATTTAAGCTTCTACTTTCGTTGCTCATATTTTGCATCTTCACTAGCTTGGCTTTAGTATTAACATTATTTGTTGCTCTTCATAGCTTTCTTCGTCTTAAAACACATTACTTACACCTACCCAAATGCCCTTTTGTCAGTGTGCCTTCCAAGAAATCAACAACAAACTCGTAAACACATTTATCATTCTCGAAAAAGTTATCTTTGTGCGATTTAAGTCGTAATATTTTTCTGATATCTTTAGACTTCCAATAAATGACGAATTTGGTGTCATTTGATGTAGCAATAAAGATTAGAATTGATATATTTTTAAACTTTTTCCTCAGTTTTTTGAGGTCAATTGAGCTGAATTCTTTGAAATCTTGTTCGATATTGAGTTTTATTTGTAGAATATTTTGAAGATTTATTGGTATATTTAATGATTTCAGAAATTTCAAGGATTCTTGGATATTGCTGAAGTTTTCGACTGTCCATGAATCATTGTTGGGCAAGATCAGAAAAAAAGGGAAAAAATCTTCAAATGCTGATTTCTCTGCTTCCGAGCATCCAATTTGTATGATTTTTTCACAGGTCGATAGCAAATTTTAGAAAGTTTAACTTATAATTTCATTTTTCAAAATGGCGGTTTAAGAAATTAGCTTAATTAACAAATTCACATTTGAAATTGATTTTTCTTCAAGAAAAAACAAGCTAAATGTTCAAGTCCTTGACAAAAGTTGTAGATTATGATATTTTCTATCATAACATCAGACTAAAGCTTAATAAAAATCAATAGATTTAGTTATTTTAACAAAAAATCAACTTGTTGAAAAAATTGCTTTTTCAGCAAAAATACTAACTTTAGATGACCGAAAACAATTTTTAAGTTATTAAAAAGTCATTGTGTATTGTAAATGTATGTGGAATATGCTTAAAATTGAGTTAAATTTACTTAAAAACATTTTAATTTCAATTGAGCAACATGTTTTGCTCATGATTTCACACAAAATTTGAATTTTTCAAAGCCGTTACAAATATTTTGGTTAAATTATTTAAACTTTTATGATTTTCTTGACTTTCCATAAAGATTTTTAAGTTTTTCTTTTGCAAAAAGATGCATCTAATGTATTGTTATAGTTTCAAATTGAGAGATCATTAAAATAATAAAAGAATAATGGTTTAATAGAAGTTTTCTTAAACTCACTGTAACTTTCTTAATTAAAGTAAAACTTAAAATTTTCTTTTATAAACTTAAAGACTGTCATATTTGCAAGCTTTTTTGTAATAAAAGCAAGTTATTAAGATGTTTCCTTCATATTGAAATTTCAACCTTAACATTTAAAACATTAATTAATCTAACTTAAAATACCGCCATTTTAATAATTTTATGCAAGTAATTCACTATTCTGATCATTTAATTACTCAGTGAAAGAATTTCTAAGATTGGTGAATCAGTTGCAGAGATATTGAATTAGCAACATGGTGTAAAATCGAATTTCCTCAAAATTGTTCGTGACGCTAAGCACTTTAAATTAATTTTTAATTATAATACAACGTCTAAGAGATACTTGTTATACACCAAAATATAGGTTTTGGCAAGGACTTTAAGAAAAACACAAGTCTTAAATACATATTTCGCATTAATAATTCAAAAATTGATAATTATTGCTCAGCGTCACGAACAATTCATTTTCGATCTTGCCCTGTTGTTTTGAAGATTTGTGAACATTTCTGGAAATAAATTGTTTCAAAATTAAAATTACAAATTTCTTGTGAATTTCTTACTAGTCAAATCATTTTAAACACATTTCACACTATAAACAAAGCTTAAATCATGTAGAAAACCAAGAATAATCACTTAATTTGTAATCAGAGCCGAAATTAATTAGCAACGAAAATCGCGAATGTTTCATTTCGATGTCAATTGAATTACTGAAAATAAAATTTCTTGTTTACTATGATTAAAAAAATAAAGCGTGGCAAATATGACGATAAGTTCTTATCTTCTTTTGTGACACAATCGATGCAATGTTTACATCAGTGTGTGCTAAATGTTGCTTTGCTGATAATGAAATTGGATATGACATATTTTTGCTGTTTTTTTTCGAACGAGCGATGTTTAAGACTTAATTAATTGTGATTCTAAGAATTAGTCATTCAGAGATACCTTCACCATCCGTCCTCGACTGATATGACTTAATTTATAGATTTATAGTCATTTTGTGTCAAAGGAGCATTATAAGCTAGCATCAGAAAATTTTGAAAAAAAATAAATTCAAAATATGGTTCATCCCAAGTTGGAATCGAACGTCGCACCTTTCAATTTCCGGTCAAGTACTCAACTTTAAAGTTATTTCATTTAGAAGCTCTGAAACATAAGCTTCCATATTTCAACTGCCAACGTTAATGAGCTAGTTTAGATGAAAATGTGTTTAAAATGCAATTATTGTACTTCAATTTAAGGTTTTAAATTATCAACAATAATAAAATAAACATTAAATGATGAGTAATCAAATAAAAACTCAGTTCAGTAACCTTATCACTCCGTATACAACCTTATGCGAACGAAAAAAAAATAATTCCTTCAAAATTCTACTGAAATGATTACGCTGTATTAAAATCATCCAAACATAAAATTTCATTTTCCTACAATGAATAACATGATGATGAACTCCCTTGTATCTCATTTAAGATGAATGAAAGTGAGAAATGAGAAGCTTGAGTAGCGAGAAGAAAAAAAAGGAAAATGTAGAAAATTAAATAAATGAATGTATTTACATAAGAAATGAAAAATTAAAACCATAATAATGAAATGTTGACTTTTGAGCAAATAATTTTGCGCACATCACGGTCTCACACAAACGCGTGCATGTGAAAAATAAAAATGAGAAGAAAATTTAATGAATCATTGACATTTTTATTATACATTTTCATCAAAAGAGCCACGAAGCTTATGAGAAATTCATTTTCTACGCCTTTTAGACAAAAAATAAAAACAATTTTGCTTCATTATTCATGAATGCGCGTCACCCACAAAGTATGAGATTGAAATTCATCAGTTTAATTTTTTTTAAATGCATGTGGACAACTCCCCGAGATCCTACAGGATAACTTTTAAAAAATGCTATTTATCTAATTTACTTGCTTTTGAAACTGTGAAGTGAAATTTAATCAACTAAGATGTTGAATGAATTAATCATCGTCACAATTACAGAAATTCTTTTACTTTTATTTTTCTTTTGAAAATATTTATTTTACTCTTTCATAGCTAGTTTTTATAGGAAAATGGGGCTTTAGATTATTATTGTCTGATTGTCCATTGACTATAGACCCTTTAAGTTCTCAATAAGGAGAAAAATAGATTGTGAAGGCACTTAAATCTGAGTTCAATAGTGTTAAGGCATCTGAACTTCAGTATTCTAGTGTGTAGGCACCTAAACTTGATAACTTTAGTGTAAAAGTACCTGAACCTCTAAACTCTAGTTTGAAGACACCTGAACCTAAAAAATCTAGTTTAAATACACGAAAACATTT